AAACAAACAAAAACAAACAAACAAAACAACCAAAAGGTACAAACAGGAGGTTACAAAAGGGGACCAAAGCAAGTCCAGAATCCAGCATGCCAAATATTACATTCCACAGTTCCACTTCCAGTGTCTAAAGCAATTTGGCAAGTTGTGAACTCCAAAAAGCTGGGGTGGTTCTGTCCCAACAGCACTTCTGGTGGTTGTGGCTCCCATGGATTCTCTCATGGGCCAGCTCTGCTCCATCCTTGCAGTTTTCCTTGGACAATCCACATTCCTGGCTTCTCCAAACTCCTGGGGTCTCCACTGTACCTTCAACTTCACATTCACATTTTTACACACTTCCCTCTCAGGAGCACACTGAGTGGCCTCCAAGGTCTTCTCCAGAAATCTTGGTGGAAACCGTCCTACCTCACAACTCTTGCATTCTGCATGCACCTAAAACCAGCACCACTTTGGTTGATACCAGGGTCTGCCGCCAGCTGTAGCTATAGCCAGGATTGCTTCTCTCTTGTCTGTAGGATCCAGTTTCTAGGAACCAAGTCCTGAGGAATAACTTCCCTAGGCCACCATTTTGGAACAACTTCCCTAGGCCACCATTTTGGAACAACTTCCCTAGGCTGCCACCATTCTGGAATGTAGTGCTCTGGGGCTTTCTTCTCAGAGAAAAATCTTTCACTTTTATCTCTTTGAGACAGAAAATGATGGAGTCCTGCTGCTTCTTGTGATGCCCTCAGGCCATCTTTTTTATTCTACTGTTCCTTCTCGGCAATCAAGATCTTTGCTCTATCTTTGCAGCCCTCATCTTTACTGGAGCTTCCTTTAGGGTGAAACTCAAAACATTTTAAATTATTCTGCTGGGCTTTTTGCTCCTGATTCTCAACATAGATCTGGCTAAAAGCCCCCAGTAGTAGCCACACCACTGCCTCGATATTTGACTGCCTCGATATTTGACTGCCTTGAAATCTCTTCTGCAAGATTAATTAGTCCACTGCCCCTAATTTCAGTTTCAGGCAGTCTTTGAATAAGAAAAAAACACTGATAAACTTTCTCCCAAGGTACAACACACATCATCTGGAGTTCAACAGCCAATGCAGTTCTAGCAGAAACTTCTTGGTCTTGGTCTTTACTGACTTTCTGGTCTTCTGGGCTCTGACCAGAGTCTGCATACAGAACAGCCTAAGGCATTCCAGTGCTAATTCCGTAGCCAACATCTCAGAATCTCTCCTAATCCTTCCCCTTCCCACAAACCAGTTCCAAAGGCTTTTGAGCCACATGGACAGGTAATGTCACAGCAACAGCCCCACTCCTGGTTCCAAATTTCTGTGTTACATTTCTCTTATTGCTGAGACAAAATACCAAACACCCTAAATTAGAGGGGACGGGGTTTTGTTTGGCTCACAGTTCATAGAGGTTTTGATGTAGAGGGAATAGATGTAGCTCCCGAACCTGCTAGATATCCAAAATGCAAATTCGTGTTCTCTAAAATCAAAGAATGAATTCTAGGAACAATGGAGATTAAGAGTAGAAAAATTTATTGAGAGAAAAATAGCTTCTAAAAGATACAGAAGAGGGACCAGAAAGTGGGTTGCCAGCCTAGCCCACTTTTCAGAGGTGTTTTATACAGCAAAGCCATGTGGTGAGGTGGGTACAAAGTGGGACAAAACTATAAGACCCAATGGAAATTGACAAGGTGGGCATGAGGTGGGACAAACCATGACCAACCAATAGGCTAACAAGTAGTCACCCAAAATGAGAACCAAGACCTATCATGTAAAAGTACAAGATCCCAATGATGAATGTAACTGTACTGCATACCTAAAATGTACCCATAAACTCAATGACAGAGAGAGAGAGAAAAAAAAAAAACAAGTACAGTCACCCAAGTAATTTTGATTAAATGGAGATCAGATGGAAAAACAAGTCACATACAAGGAATTCCCCATTTAGACTATCAATCACTGCTATCTCTAAGGGAAATAGTGCCTCTTCTTTTTATAATGCTAACCAATGAACGTGCCTCAATTGTTCTCCATGTTGGCTCCTCACTGTGTTGGCTCTTGGAGGACTGGCACCTTGAGGACTGGGGCCTTGAGGGCTGATGCCTGGAGGATGGCCCTGTCTCACTGCCTACAAGATATCTAATTAACTTACCTGTCTACAATAGTTTCAGTACATAATAGGCTGGCTGCAAGGCAAGTACCTCACAGGAGAAACAACATTGTGCACACAAGGTAGCAGAGGTAACTGTTTTTCTGCTCCTTTTATCTCATCCAGACTACCAGGTTTAGGGCAGTGCTAAACCAATCACTCACGTGTAGTGGTTTAGTAATCATTTGCCCTTAACCCCATCATCTCACCTTCCAGATTCAGCTATGTCTGACAGAATGAGGTTTTGGGGGGACACCTAGACCCAAACCAAAGCAGACACAGAGGCAATGACTACTGTATCGAACTCTGATAGTGTTCTTAGCATATTCCACCTGTGATGCCACATTTATGTTGGTGTGCAAAATCCAACAGTTGATTATGTTCTCTTTTGATAAAACTGACATAATTTTATATAATTTTAAAAGCCATAACTAACACAAGCTTCAACTTCCATATCAGTATAATATACAAAGTGTATATTTTCTGCCCTCCCTTAGATGTTTTCAATAGTCTTTACAATATGGTTGTGCTTCAGTTCTGAAAATTTTTGTTTTGTTTTGTAGCAGGAATCAAACTCGGAACCTTGTGCTTGCAAGGCAGGCGGTAGAGATAACTAAATCCCTGGCCCCAGTTCTGTAAATTTTGAACCCTGTATTTTTTAATTTGTAGATTTTTTTTTTTTTACAAAATAGTAATTCTCTATATTTTCAAAAATAAAAATTAACATTTGGAAGTTCTTCCCTGTAGGAGGAGGGGCTGATCAGAAGCAACAGGACTGGTTCCTACGTAGGCAGGGAGTCAGATATAGACAGGTGAGCAATCTGGGCTGTGATTTTTTTCCCCACACACAGCATTTGATGATAAAATTTCCAGTTTTTCTTCTCTTTCCTTTCTGTTTTGTGTTTTGGTTTTTTGTTTGTTTGTTTGTTTGGAGTTTTTTGTTTTCTGCTTTTTTTTTTAAGAGGAGGGAAGGAAAGAGAAATAAAACCAGAGAGGGGAAAATGCCAAAAAGCATTTCCTACAATATCTAAGAACCATATAGTTCTTGTCAAAAATGTATGAATTCTGGATAAATTGTTTTTTCCGGTTTTCAACACCAATATTTTTGCAAAAGCCACAAGCACCAGAACGCTCATCTTCCAGATGGAATAGTCTCCTTCCCCTTTCATCTTCACTTGTCACTTCTAATGAGAGGATAAAAAGGTGTGTTCTGCTCTTGCAAGCAGTAAGTGCTACAGTGAGAGCTCTTCTGATACTTTTATGGTGATGAGACATTTTCACAAACATCCAAGTTTTAGCACAGTTGGAAGGACTAAAATTTGTTTCCCTCAGCCTAAATATTCCTGGAATCCACAAACCGATTCTGCAAAAACTATTTCTTCTTTCTTTTTCCTTTCTCCTGAAACTGAACATCTTTTTCTTCTTGCCTCTATGGAGTCTGCTCTGTCAAGAAGCAGACAGTTTCTCCCAGTACCCCTGCTGGGCTGTGCTGGGCCAGTACCTAGACTGCACCCTGGTGTCAGATTCAGCAAGGCTAAAGGGAACATGGAAATGCAACACAGTTTTCCTTTGGTCCAGCAACCCCAAGTGCTGGGCCCTTCTCTTCCCCCATCCCCTAAGTTATTTAGTGCCATTTTAAAGTCTGGGATGTGGCATCTGTGGGTGGATCTGGGGTCTCTAGCCTACCCTCAAATTTTCTGAGGCTTGTCTCCAAGGGAGAGGAAGGGGAGTCAGACAACAGTGCAAATCAAGAGTAAAGTTTATTTACAGAAAAAAAGAGAGGGAGAGTTACAAAGGCACTGGAGGACTGAGCTGGGTGACCATTAAGGAAGGCCAGGGGTCCTGTATTGATGGGGTTGAGGCTGTGGTCCCTCCCTCTGAGGGCAGCCCCACCCCATGGATTGGTCTGCCTCTGCATCAGGGGTTTGGGTTCAATATTACAACAGTTAGGGTGAACAGTATTACAAAAGCAAAATGGCTGATTGCCCATAAGTTACATTCTCAGGACACTGCAGAAGTTACTCTTCTAAATCCTAAAGGGCCAGTGTCTTTTTTCTGGCCTTACCGTGGGAGTCCCATCTATCCCTGCCAGGGCACGATGCAGTCTTTCTCCACAGCTCGAGATTGCCCTGTCTACCCGACGTTCAGTGACAGCAACAGTTACTGCCACTTTGGGAAAATAAATGGAGTCTTGGGACAGGTGGGATCTTAGGACACCTTCAGGCGCTTGCATGGGGGTCCCAGGAAAGGGCACTTCACTGCAGCCAGAGAGTGATAGGCTTCAGCCACCAAATGAGGGTGTGACACCATCAGGGACTTCCACCCAGAGGTCTCCAGGATGTCAGAAACATGATAGTTAATGAAATCCAGCGCCTGAGTCTTCAACTGATGTGCACTGTGGAGGTCAGCCAGGATGAGAGTCTCTGAGGCATTCTCCACGGAGAGGTTGCTGCAGAGCGAGTCCTCACACATGACCTTCAGGCGCTCCAGGGCATACTTGTCAGCAGCTGCCAGCAGATCGTGTGCCATTCTGTCGAGGTTTGGAGCCTTCCCGGTGTAAATGAACCACATCATCTCCTTAAATACTTCAGGCTCCACATCACTGATCTCAACTCGATTCTTTCTTCTCTCCTCCATTTCGTGTTCAAACATGGCGTTAAAAACTGGAGAACGGATTGCTAAGATGGCTTTGTGAGCCTGGAATTCCTGGCCAGCCACACACAAGCAGCAGTCTGTGAAACGGGAACTCTCCCACAGCCCTGCTAGTTCATCTGCCAGCCGGCACTCAGGAACCTTCACTGTATTCGTGGTATTCTGGCCAGAAATATTGACAGAATCTTGCAGCACGTTCATCTCGCAGAAGAGGGTAAGCTTGTCATCAGGAAAAAGCCTTTTGGCCTCATTCAAAAGAAAATCTCTACGGATGAATCTTCTGAGCCCCCAGCCTTTGCTTTGCACAAACCTACAAGCTCGTTGACTCTCCTTACTTTTGATTTCCTCTCCCTTGGCATTCAGAATGGAGAACTTAAATTTTGCCCAAGCTTCATTCTTTGGACAGCTGACCAGTAACAGGTAAAAGGACAGGTAATCTTTGCTTTCTTCATGGAGCCATTTTGGGTTTACTCCTAAACACCACTGCAGTTCATCATTAGCTCCAGGTGGAAAGGCTGAACTTCGAATGGATTCACAAGTTTCATCTAAGCAAAAGCTAAAGTTACTGATGGTCCACAGGTAGGAGTATTTCACTACCTTGATCTGTGTATTGGACCAGCTTTCAGCTACGGGGCCATTTGACATTTCTGCCGGAGATGGAGGACTTGGAAACCTTGACATCGCCAGTGTGCAAGTTAAACAGAGTTTCCAAAATCACGGAGCAGAGATTTCCATTCTTTCTTTACCAGTTTGTAGAGATCCATCCAGTCAGCAGCTCCAACACAGGGAGGGTACCATGGCAGTCAGGAGGCAGAGAGCCTAATTTGTAGATATAAAAAAAGTATTTAGAAATCGATTTACCAAGACTTGCTAGTATATCAGAAGCCTCTGAGTAATTTGTCAATCACTGGGAGAAATATCTCCTTTAAAAAGTTTCCTTTTAAACCGGGCGTGGTGGTGCACGCCTGTAATCTCAGCACTCGGGAGGCTGAGGCAGGAGGATCGCTGCAAGCTGAGACCAGCCTGGGCTACACAGTGAGTTCCAGAACAGTCTGAACTACATAGTGCGATCCTGTCTCAAAAAACTAAAAAAAAAAAAAAAAAAAAAAAAAGTTTCATTTGCCAAACATGGTGGTACACACCTGTAATTCCGGCACTCAGGAGATTGAGGCAGGAGGATTACTGTGAGTGAGAGGCCAGCCTGAACTATAGAGCAAGACCCTGATTTAGGGGAGAGAGAGAGAGAGAGAGAGAGAGAGAGAGAGAGAGAGAGAGAGAGAATCTCCTTGTTGATGACATTGAATGACAGTGGATTTTGTGAGGGTTTTTTCGTTTTTGTTGTTCTGTGTGTGTGATAATGGAGATGAACCCAGGACCTTCACACTGACTCCAGTCCTTTGTTTTTTGTTTCTTAATCTTAAGACAGGGTCCCACTAACTCACTAGACTGCCTAGGTTCATCTGAAATTTGCAGTCCTCCTGCCTAAACCTCCAAGAACGTTGGGATTAGAGGAATGTGCCACCATGCCTGGCTCCAGTCACCAGGTTTTCTGACACCTGCCCACTGCCACTAAGATTCCAAAACAGTTCCTGGCTGTGACACGTGTAACTAGAGTATCCTTCAGAGAAATGGCACCCAACTGAAAATTTACGGAGACCCTTGTGATATGGAAGATCATTTGCTGAGATCATTTTTCCAGCTCCATCTTCAGCCTGTAGCAGCATATTTTCCCCTACAGGGAGCTTGGAGCATGAAGGGGTAGAAACTTTGCTGAGGATGTGAGCCAAAGTGACCACCTCTCTCCTTTGTCCCTGCTCTGGTCATAGGAGGCTGTAACTCAGCCAGCAATTGTCTGCCCGCCACCTTCTGCCCCTTTCTCCCCCTTGCACCACAATGGACTGGAACCGTTTGCTTCATTGTCCTCTGGGGCTATCAAACCACAATTCACCACTCCAACAGGAGTGCAACCAGGCCTGGTGGGGTCACATCCCCACTCCAGCCTCTTCAGTGCTGCCTTTTTGAGGACAGGGCGCCTGGGAGTAGCTAAAGTCAGGAAGGGAGTGATCTGGGTCCCTTATTTGCATACCCAGCATTCACAGCAAGCCTTCTAGAAGATTCCTTGATTTGGGCCTTCACCCTTGCTGACACAGGTCTGTCACCACCCAGGGAACAGCAGCGAAGGAACTATACCTAAGGGGAAAGCAAACTTGCCCACCACAAGGGAGGAAAGCTGGTGCTGAGGACAACTAAAAGTGACAGATGTCCATGGTGACATCATTCCAAACCTGGAGCTCACCATCTCTCTGAATGTCTCTTAAGGATATCTCATAGTTATTATTTTCTAATAGAAGTATCATGAAGATTAAGCTAAAGTAGTGCTGCTCATTCAAGGGCTCAATGTCTATTTTTTTCTTTGCTCGGTCAGCTTAAATCAGGGATTCTGTTTCTTATACCCCAAAGTACCCTACCTGAAACATTGCTGCCTGCATCAGTCAGAGTTTACTAGAGAAACAGATTTATACAAGATATACAAATATATAAGAATTACAAAACTGACTTACAGTGGCTGCCCACAGAGTCACACGTGGGAGAGTGCAAAATTACTGTCTGCACCTTGGAGGCCTGAAAGATCCACTTGAAGGCCTGGAGCTAAATGTTGCATCCTGTGTGAGTCCACATCAGAGACGGAAAGGTCTGTGCTGGAAGTCAGGAAATACGTCCAAGGTACAGGTGAAGACTGGAGCTCCTTGGAAGGAACAAGCAGCTCTTCCTTCTTGGTTTCCCTTTTATACCTTTCAGGCAACAATCCACCCTAGGGTGGATGTTTCCACCCTATGCTGATCCAATTTAGTTAGGCGTGTCTTACTCAAATTGATGGAATCAGGTAACTATTTCACCACCTGTCTCTTCTATATATTTATAGAAAAATAAATGTTTTTGTTTTGCTACTTCTGGATTTCTTATCTATCTACTTAAGATGCATTTTTGTTTTGTTTTGTTTTTTTGAGACAGGGTCTCACTATGAGGTTAGACTGACCTGGAACTCACTAGCCCAGGCTACTCTCAAACTCACAGTGATCCTCCTACCTCAGCCTCCAGAGTGCTGGGATTATAGGTGTGTACCACCACGCCCAGCTTTATGATGCTTTTTTGGCGGGGGAGGGGTTGAGACAGGGTCTCACTTTGTAGTTGAGACTTACCTGGAACTCACCTATGTGGCCCAGGCTGGTCTCAAATTCACAGCAATCCTTCTGCCTCAGCCTCCCGAGTGCTGGGTTTATGGGTATGGCCATTAAGGCCAGCTCCTCTACTTCTGAATTTCTAAGGAGGCAGGGCAGGGTTAGGTGGTAGAAAGGGAAGGCTGACCACAAGTCTGTCTGTGAGGAGTGTTTGAAGTCCAGAAATGTCCACTTTAAGAGATCATTCAATAGCATCAGGATCCAATTCAGCATATCCAGGCTGCCTTTCAGTAGGGCCTGTAACTGGCTAATCTGAATGGATTTATTATCATGGTAGATTGTTTATATGTGAGACGGTCATTTTCTTCATATTACTAGTTTATTCCATTGCCTTAGTAACTTGGCATATTTAGTTTCTAAAACTAAAGAACTAAAGTGTCCTGTCATTAAATAGAGTTTTACCCACTTCTACCTCCACTTTTCCATAGTTTCATTGGTTACTACTTTCAGTAAAATGTTTAATAATGATGACAGAAAGTGCCCTTGTCTAATTTCTTTCGTTAATAGAATATCTCTACACTTTTCCCACTAAGCATGATTTTAATTTGGGGAACCGAGGTAGATATATTGTATCATATTAAGGAAAAGTTTGGCTATTGAGAGAATGGAGAAAAATTGACATAAGTCCTCTGAGAAGGCAATGCCTGAAGGATTATATCTTGTCATAAAAGTTAGTATGAGCTAGGCCATTTTTATTTCAAAGACGCTAATAAAATTAACTCTACTTAGGTTGGAACAAATATCCTTTCTTACTCATCTTATACACTGTCATCATGAAATTGAGTCCTGACTAATTTGTATATAAGAAATTTACCTGAGATTCTGATGTTTAATCCTGCAAAAGAACTTTATTATCTCTTAGAAAGTATCCTTAGTTTGAAGATTATGCTCGCTCTGTATGTTTGTTATGAGAAATCTCATGGACCTGTGTACTGTGTTTTGTGATGAAAAACTGTAGATGTTCAAATGTGCTAAGTATAAAATGTATGGGAATTTGGGGTTTTTTTTGAGACAGGGTCTTGTGAGGTCATCCAGGATGATCTTAAACTCATGATGTAGCCCCAGCTGAGTTTGAACTTGCAGTGATCTTCCTGCCTTGGCATCCTGAGTGTTAGGACTACATGATTGTGCCTCAACACCCGGGGAGACATTTTATAAAAATTAAGAGATTGCAACAGCAAGAAGATAGCATAGTTGTAATCGCAAGTATTTGGTATCTAGGAAGCAAAACCTGAAAGGGAAATTTAAAAGATCAACATTATAATGGATAATTATAGCATTCATCTCTCAACAATTGATGAAAAACTAGATCAAAAAGCCAACTAGTATATTGAAGATTGGAATAACATCACCAAACCTCCTGAAGTACTTGATATTTACAGAGTGCTCCAAAAAGTGTAACTTTTTTGAGTGTACAGAATATCTCATTTTTATTCTGGCTCATAAAACAAACTTCAATAAATTTAGATTGAAATCATATAGAGTATGTCATCATAATTAAATTAGAGTGGGCCCGGGATTTAGCTCAGTGGTTCTGCCTTGCAAGCGTAAGGACCCGAGTTCTATCCCCGGTACAAAAAAAAAAAAATTAAATTAGAAATCAGTAACACAAAAATAGCTGAGAAAATCCCAAATATTTTGAAATTAAATATTGCACTTCTAAATAACTCAGAGGTCAAAGAGGTAATTGTAAAGGAAACTGAAACATGTTTTGAACTCAAAGATTAAAAACATATCAACAATTATAAAATACAGTTAAATAAGTGCTTAGGAGGGAAAATGATACCTTTACATGTTTAAATTAGAAAAGAAGATCTTATTTATCCTTTTAGTTTTTCACACCAGAGAAACTGTTCAGTGTTTACACGTGTGTCTTATGTATTTCACTTAAGAGTATGGCCTCAATATACATCCATTTTCCTATGAATGGATTTATGGCTGAGTAGTACTCCATTTTATAGAAAAAACACATCTTCTTTATCCAGTCTCCAATTTATGGGCAATTGGACTGCTTCCAAGTTTTAGCTATTATAAAATGTGCTGCTGTAAACATGGGTGTACATATATCACTGTGGTATTATTCTTTTAGAAAGACCCAGCAGAGGGATAGCTTGGTCAAATGGAACCTCTAATCCCAGCTCTTTGAGGTATCTCCATATTGATATCCATAGTGGTTGCACCAGTCTGCACTCTCACCAACAATAGAGAAGGGTTCCTTTCTCTCCACAACCCCGCCAACCTTTGTTATTATGTGATTTCTTGATAGCAGCCATTCTTTGTGGGGTGAGGTGGAAACTCAGGGTTGTTTTCATCTGCACATCCTGAATGACCAGTGATGTGAAACATGACAATGTGAAATAGGAAGACAAAGGCTAAAGGTGTAGGGGAAGTGAGAAGGGTAGGGGAAAGGAAATAAGGAAAAAAAATATGAGAAAAATGAAATAATGGAAACAAAGTTTTTGTAAATAGGAAAGGGTGAAAGGGGTGAAGGGAGGACAGGGGTATGGGGGAAAATGAGAACCAAGACATCATGTAAAGGAACAAGATCCCAATGATGAATGTAGCTGTACTGTATACCTA